GAGCCGCGCCCAGAGGCCGCTGCTGACGCTGACGTCCAGCTCGTCGCCGGGTGGCTGGAAGGCGCGCGCCGGCGTGCTCGGCTCCGGCGGACCCTGCCACGTCGAGTGTGGCGGCGACGGGCGCGCCTCACCCTCCCACTGCAGCCAGGCGGCCGCCGCCGGGCCCGCCACCGCCACCTCGGCCTCCATGCACTCGGCCGGCGGCAGTAGCGACGCGGACGACACAGCGCTGGCACCGGACATCGACGCCGGCAGGTGAAACGGAAATGGCGCGGATGGCGCGTCAGCGTCAGCGCCAGGTGGCGCTGCCGGCGGAGTTGAGGTGGGACGTGACGTGTTTGTTCTCGTCACACCGGCTGCAGGCGTCACGCCGGCTACAGCAGGCGCAGATACATCGGGAGACGACGTATGGAAAGCATTCCGTGCATCCCAGTCCCGGTGAAACGAGTCAAGCTCTTTCAGTCTAGCGTCCAGCAGCTTGCTGGCTTGTTTGGGCCGCGCTGCCGGCGCGCGCCGCTTCATGTGCCGATTGACCCTCAAGGCCTTCAGGTGCCGCAGCCGTTCCTTGGCCGGCGTCACGTCGAACACGCACTGGCGCACCTTGCCCCGTCCCCTGCCGGGTCGGCGCAGGCCGCGCGGCGGCGGTAAGTGCGACGCCACCTCCTCGATCGTCGTCAGCGGCCGATCCGACGGCGCCACGTAGTTCTGGTTGCGGTAGTACTCGACCAGCTCTAGCGGCAGGACGGCCGGAGTGCGACACATCGGCGCGCTCTCGGCGCACGGCACGGGCTCGGCGGGTACCGCTCGGTCCGGTGGTGACCACTCAGCCGACCCAGTGCGCACGCTGGACTCCGAGGACGCGATGGACTCCAGCGGCGCACCGAACTCAACGAAAGCGCTGGACTCCATGGGAGCGCTGGACTCAAGGGGGGCGATGTCTTCCAGGCGCGCGATGCCGCAACTCGCCGGCGCCTCACCGGCGCCGGCAGACCGCCGTCGGCACTTGTTGCTGCCTTTGCGGCGGGTCTTGTCCGGTGCTGAGTCCGAGGGGTCGCCCGACGTCTCCGAGCACGCGCCGCTGCGGCCGGCGTCCACCTCCGCACCGCCGACGGACCTCCGTCGGCCCCTCTTGCTGGCGGTGCGGCGCGTGGCGTCCGAGCTGGGAGCACCAGGGGGCGGAAGCTCGGCGGCGGCGTCTCCGCCCAACGCTGCGCTCACGCCCACGGCCGGAGCGCAGCTGTTCTCCTTTCCCGGCTGCGGCGGCGGGTCCGCGTCGAAGACGGCCGCGGCCGGCACACCGCCAAAGGAGCGGCGGCGCGACTTCCGCGGTGCGACGGCCGTCGCCGGGAGCGTGTTCAGCTGGGCCAGAGAGTGGCGGGAGGAGGCGGGCGCAGTCAGCAGCTCCGCGGCCTCCTTGGCTGGTGATCCCGCCGAGCGCGGCGAGCCGGGCTGGTCGGCGGCGGCGGCGAGCTGCAGCGCGCCGAGAGAACGCTCCACCGGCGAGAGGGCGGCCGGGGCGCCACGGCGCCGCAGCGTCATGCCGTGCGCGGACCAGGGCATGACGCCCGAGAGACGCCGCGACCTGCGCCTCGGCGGCTGGCTCTCAGCTGGAGACAGGCTGAGTGTGTTCAGGTCGATCCGACCCCAACCAGCACTGTCAGGATCAATAGATGGCGCATGGCCGCCGACAGCATCCTCAGTGTCCATTGCCGACTCCATGGTCTTCAGACCATGCAGAGAAACCTGTAATGGTATGAAAACCTCCAGTTAACACTGCTCTGTCTACAACAGACATGACGGGTGGACTGAGCTGTTTGTACCATAGTAGACAGACATATGCGTAGTCACATGCATAGTCATATGCAAATACAACATCCACTCTAGTGAATAAAAGAACCTCAATGTTCCTCACCAATCAGCAAGCTGAGACTAAAAGCTGGTCCATTTTGTATCAGCACATGACTTCCACACCAAGTTCTGATCAATGATTATTAATGCAGTTTAGAACTTTACACCAATCTGAAGTACCAAAAAGGCTATAACACATGCTTTATATAACACATGTTTACATGCTTGCCTTCATCATTAGCTCAGCTTATTTTGAAGGGCAGGCAGAGTTGGTCTTAGCTCAACTGAACAGAAAGGCTGTGGGTTCAGCAACCCAGCACCAACAAAAAATGCTTTCAAGAGGCTCACATCTTAAACAGTACCCACAACATTGCCAACAAAGTTTTAACAACATGTAGCAAAAATCAAGAGTGAGGCCGGATCGCCCGACCTTAAATGCGGGCTGTTTCATAAGAACTTCCTCAACTTGGCAATACTTCCAGTACTTCATCTTCCTAGCTGATTTATTATTGTTTTCAGTGCCTACATTAATGGAATACTTACATAACATTAGGACATCAAAACACAACACATCTAATCATATTTCTTATCATAAATTGTGCCACCATGCAGGCATATAACATAAGTATACAAATGCTTAACAGATTGTTTTCCCTATCAATACACAAAGAAAGAAAATTTTCCATTACATGGCAGGTACATTAGCAGCAAGAGCAATGCAATTTTTCTGGGTGCTGTCTGTTCATATGTAACACATGCCAGAATTTCAATTTTGAGCTTCCTAGATCACAAATGGGAGTATGTCACATGCACTACAAAGCTAGCATTTCTCTAATGCTAGGCAGCCATGCAGATAGCATCCCAGGATAATACAAACTAATAACACACTGAAATTGTGCATCAAAAACTTTTGTTCATGGCTCCAGCACTTATGCGTATGTTTGACTATCATAAATGTGATCAGTGGTCACATGGACAAACATTTGTATTGCATCACATATCCTGCATAAACACCTCCAGGCATGGTATCATTTATAAGAAAGGAACACACAAGACATATCACTAGGCTCCTTATATGGAGCACCTGTCACCATATTTACCCTATTGGCACTTAAGTGCCCTGGTACAAGGCCACATTTTGAAGTGCCCAGTGCAAGGCAAATGTAACACATATAAATCTAATCAATCATCATGATTCAATAAAATGAATATTATTCATGAAACTGGTATTAACATATCCTTCTTAACTACTTGCTAAAAATATTTCATTCGTTCCATGCATTAACTTTGTGGCACTGCTGCACTTGCCAAGTCCAAAAAGAAAGGGTGCCCCATGGTGACAATTAACACAAAGTATTTTCCTTTGACCCATGCAGTTTGTACACAATTGTGGACAGTATTTAAAACTTATGGAAAGTAATAGACGTGTTGTTAATTGGTGCTTAAAAGCATGCCAGTCACAGCAACCATCTTGCACACATCAAAACAATAATCATGAATGTCCCACAACAAACAACTTTGCAATGTTGTCCATGACTGTAATGTGCATTTGTGTGCACGTACATATTGGGACTATGACCAAACCCGCCTGCCACCGTACCGTTTTTTAGTGCACAAACCATGCTACTTTTCGACCGATTCCACTGGACTAAAGCCACACATGCACCTTTGTCCTATGCTGAGACACAGAACCGAAACGACTTCAGGCAACGAACCTTAGGTTATGTGTGTTTCTATGCCTTTTCATAAAATGCTATTTCGTCAGCTATCAACCGACGCCAAGTATTTATCTGCTCCAATTTCCGGCACGGAACCGACCGCCCCCTTCGCCTGCCCACCTCGTCTAGTGCGCTGTGAACGTAGCATTACAATTTGAAAACACAACGCGAGCAACACATCCTTGAGAATATATAGTACGAACTCTTACTAAGAGGGGAAAATGTGTCTAGTACCGATTCTTACCGAAAGTGGCGAAATTTAGTGTCTACAGCTACTAAACAGAACAGCCCGGTAACCCAAGGCGGACCAAATCAGGCTGTCTAGAGGCGAACGTCGTGCATTTCTTTTCTTTCTGGGATAAGAATATTAGGGATAGGGATAGGAATATTCTCGTCGTGCATTTCTTTTCTTTCTTTCATCTCTGGGATAAGAAAACGTTCACCATTTTGGGATATCAATTCCCATTTGAATGCGCGTTGCTCCTAGTGCGCGACAAGGTCGCTCGGTTGGTGGTCAGTGGGGAGCATGGTGGAAGTGGTTGGGAAACGTGCCTGGAGAAACCCTTGCGCGTATTTACAGAAGAGTGCCATCTACCGGCTGAGTATGATAATGATACGTCCTGGACTACAGGGCATTGAGAAAGAGATTGTCATCTGGGTAGTGCAAGGAATGGGATACTAACCTCGAAATGTGGTTAGCATTTCAGCAGACTTGGGTTTGACTCAAATGTCTTGAACCAGCTCCGGACTGGCTCACAGATTGTGGAATATGACTCAGCTTGTGACCCAGCTGTTCAATTTTTCATTTGACTAAGTTCAGACTATTGGACATTGAAGCCCTTGACCCATGACTCATGCAGATTGCAAAATCAAATATCAGGCTCTGGCTCTGGCTGTATGTGCTATTCATTTTGTGTTACGTATCTCTGGCTATGTATATGTTAATGCATGTGGTATATATAGTGTTATATATCATTATCATACTCAACCGGTAGATAATACTCTTCTATAAATGACGCGCAAGAGTTTCTCCAGGCACGTTTCCCACCCACTTCCACCATGCTGCCCACTGACCACCAACCGACCGACCTTACCGCGCACTAAGAGCAACTCGCATTCAAATGGGAATTGGGATCCCAAAATGGTGAAGGTTTTCTACTCCCATCGTACAGAAAGACATTCACGACGTTAACCTCCACACAGCCTTATTGTCCCTGGTCGGCCTTGGGTTACCGGGCTGCTCTGTTTAGTATCTATAGGCACCAAAAGCCGCCACTTTTAGTACAAATCGGTACTAAACACCGTTCCCTCTTGGCAAGAATTCGTACTAAATATTCTCGAAGATGTGTTGTCTCGGCATTGTGAGGATTTCGAATAAAAGAAAAACATCGTAGCGACAAACGCGGGAGTTTTGTTACAGTCTAGTACGTGAAGGGGCACGTTTCGTGGCCCCCGAGCATTACGCGGTAGTTGTGGAAAAGGTGATGATTAAGATCGTCATAGGTTGAGAATGGGACTACCAGCATTAGATACACCTGTTAGTATGCCTTGCTGTTTTTGAATTGTAGATATTTTAGGAAAGCATCTAATTATCCATTGCTTGGTGTCTTCAAATTAATGTTGTGCTTTAACTGTTTGATATGTCAAGACTGATCTGTTATAAATGTCAACACAATCTGCAAAGGTCTTGATGTATGCTGAAATGTGCACAGAATTTGTTACATAATTTTTATATCAGTTTACCATCCTGTAGCACATGTCCTGCCAGCTATGTAAATACCACATAGCACACAGTCTTATGCTAGTCTTGAGTCAGTATATTAGTCCAGCTCTTCTTTTCTGCCAGCTATGCCAAGAAAGGCCTACTTGGAAATTGCACTTGAATTTGATGCATGTCCTTTTGCAGTGGGTTAGGAAGCTGCCATAACACTTCCACTCTGACAAGCTGAACATTAGCCCCATTGGGATCCAGGGCAAAAATGAACTTCTAATTGGTTTTGGCACACCTTTTTTATATGCTTCTTCATATGTCATATGCTATATTGTGCTCTGTGGAGGTACATGATGTTTTCCTTTTCCCATGCACAATTCCTTTATGATGCTATCATTTTGCAAAGTCTTGGTGCTAATAGGCCAAAAAGAAAGTAAGCATATCCCAGGGGTGCCTGTATTGCACCAGCACTTTGGCATATAGTATTCAGACTGAAAGCAAAGTCCAGTAGTGGCAATATTTTTACATTCAAAATTTGATGGTCTTGCAAGATTGCTTCTTTTCAGAATCAATATTTTGATCTGCAACTAATGTTTTTTGATTAACCTGATTCCATTAAACTTTTGCTTTACATACTTGTTGCAAGTGCCAACCAGTTTGTGAGAAACTGGTGCCTCCTGATGGATAATAGAGCATTGAATGATGTATTCCATGGTTCCAGTCTTGCAAAATATGAAAGTAGGGGCTAGTAATTTTTTTTAGACCAATGTACCTTTCCTTTCTCTGCCTACTATTCACATAACTTTGCTGTTAAAAAATGTTGAAGTAGTAATTGGCAGCCAGGAAGCAGCAGTTCATGGCCCTCAGTCCTCCTGGTGCAAACTCTGGTTACAGGATATCAGCGTGTTGAGGTTCATGACAATGTTCAGGTCTTCATATTGTTATGCAGCTGCTTATACAAGCACACTCTGCTATATCTTGAAGGTTAGAAGACAGGTGGGAATTGGCATTCATCTGAATGCCATTCAAATCCATGTCTTGATTTCCGCTGATGGATGCATCATTATCTACTTGACTTGTTCCAGACCTGATTCTAAATTCAATATGGTGGAAGGTGCAGACTTCAAGGAACTTTCAAGTAAGTCGATTGCTGAAATTATGCTATCATGTATATGGATTTTCTTCTGTAGTCTCATCCCCTGTGGTCTGGAAGTTGTTGCATAACTTGTCATTCCATTTTGTCTTTGATCATGGTTCCCAACTTGTTGCTGATAGCTGTTACCAATGTATTTAACTGCTGCCAGACTGCATTTGTTGCTCATATGTCAGGAACAAAGGGCATATATACATGCATATATATATATATATATGTATATATATATATATATACATATATATATACACATATATACATATATATATATATATATATATATATATATATATATATATATATATATGCCCTTTTATATGCCCATCTATATCTATCTATCTATCTATCTATCTATATGTCTATCTATCTATCTATCCCTCCTACATTTTGCCCCTGATTGCGGTAGGGCCACAAGCAGTTCTGGATAGCTTCACCCTTTTCTATATCCATCAAAGAGGTAATGCTTTCTGACCATAGCATTGTCCATAAAGATTTAAAGATAATGCTTCAACCTTGTACAGCCTTGAAAGGGTCATTCACAGCTTTAAACATATGTGTTAGTTTAGGAATTCTGTTATACTGATTCTAAATTGTTTTAGCCATAGTGTACTGTTTGTTGTCATTGAACTGCCAAACAGCACATTTTACCTGATTTTTTGTACACTTTCATACACTGGCATAAGCTATTATCAGACTTAAGTTTTGCCATTTTTGGAAGGATAGCAGCACTGATCAGACATCATGCTGCATCAAATTCTATGAGGTTTATCATGATGTTTTCATTGTCATTGAAGCATCATTTGGGAGTGTCCCTGTGCCCCTATCACCTGACAAGGTTAAAAAGCATGTCCGTGTTTGAAAGGTAGCCCATCTTAGGTTTAGAACTGACAATGGCCAGCCATTCATCAAAATTCCATTGCCGCACCTCAGAGCTGAGGCGAGAGAAGCGGGTGGCAGAGAGCAAAAACCAGTGCAAGGAGCAGGCCGACTACTGCAATGCCATCGGAACACTGCTCTTCAACGCCGGCCAGTTTGATGAAGCCCTGGATGAGCACCAGGAAGAGCTCGCGCTCTGTGAAGCCCTGGGCGACAGTATGGGTATGGATGTTGTTGGTGTGGTCTGGATCTCCAAGGCTTGTGCCGTGTTTTTTCGCAAAGCCCTGGAGGTGCATGCGTGTTTCTGAAGTCTGACATGTCCCTAGCATTCACACCACTGTGTAGAATTTAGACATGCTGATTAAGGAAGCTCATTTGTTTGCAACATGTGACTACATGTTTGATCCAGACAGTGTATGACCAGCGAGACCAGTCAGCTGGCCTCACCCCAACAGGGTATGAATAGCCAGACCAGCCAGCTAACCTCACCCCAACAGGGTATGAATAGCCAGACCAGTCATCTGGCTGAACACATACTTTTAGCACACCATCATCACACACACAGTGAATGCAGTTGCACGTGGCCGGCCTGGTGCCCCACCTCGCGGGCTGAGCGCGCTGCCAGCCGGCCGGCTCAGTTGTGCGCGCGGCCGCAGGTGTGGCCGTGGCTCATCGTAAAACGGGCGAAGTGCTGTGCGAGCTGGCGCGGTACGAGGAGGCGCTGCAGCACCACACGCGCTTCCTGGAGGCGGCCGAGCGTCAGCAGGACCGACTCGAGATCCAGCGCGCCGCCGCCACCCTCGGCCGCACCTACCTGCTCATGGTGAGGGCGGGGCGTCGCTGGGGTGTGACGCGCCGGGTCAGCAGACGGCCTGAGGCCCAGGCGCGGATGCCGGGTAGGCCTGGTCATTTTGAGACGTCACCGAGAAAACGAAAGAATTCCATCAGGGGATCAAGAAAACCCCGGCAATGGAAACGGCCGCAGTGGAACCCCCCCCCCCCCCCTCCGCGGTGTGGAGTCCTGTGGTTCGCACTTGTCGATTGTGGACGCGTCGAGGCCGTTGCGTCGATGGGGCGCGTTCAGGGACGGTCCGCTCTCGACATCACACGAGCAAGGACCCGCAGGTTCGAGGAGGCGGTCATGTCATGCACGTTCGTGTTACGCCTGTGTGTTGCGTGGTATGAAGGAGAAATCATCCGAGCAGCAGTTGCATGTGTTTGTGCATATTATGGAAAATTCTTGGTTGTAACTCATGGTGTTTCATTGCGGTTTTTCATTTGTTCGTACATCGCGAGTGAATGGTGGATGTGCCCTTTTCATAGGCGGATAATTTGACCCCAAGTCAGGAAGAAGCCAAAGAAGCCAACCTGAAACTGGCGCAGGAGTATTTCCAAAAAAGCCTTCGTGTCGTTCCGAGGTAAGCTACAATACAAGATTATTCTCAGTTCTCACAGAACACTTGCAATGAGCGATACTCTAGGTCCTTTCACGCTATGGTAGCAAGACGGAAATTCGTAGCCTGTGCTTTGAAGGAATTTCTTGAAAACAACACAATGTTTTGTGCGGTGAAATATTTTATGAAACGCTCGGAAGGGATTTTATCGTGGTATGACCTGAAGCAGTGCGGCTGGCACGCCTGGCCACCAGGTAGCCAGGGCTTGTCGCTCTGTGGCCTGCACGGCTGACCCGTGCTTGTCTGCGACTCTCTGAAGTGAGACCTGCTGGTCTGACCTTTGTTTGTCTGTGACCTTTGCAGTGTTATGGGCGTGTCTGGCCGGGAGAGGGCTGAGATGACTGCCCGTCTTCACCTGAACCTGGGCATTGTGGCCGAGTCGAACGGCAAGACCGAGGAGGCCCGCGTCGCGTATAGGAAGGTACGGCCTAGGCCGAGGTCGGCGCGGGAAAAAGCGGACTGAAAAATGTCCCCATTTCCTTGAACAACATCTGTATGTATTGCGCAGTATTAAATCATTCCGACGAAGTAGGAGTGTCACAGATCAGTTGTAATATGCCCGGGTTGTATTATCATCATTTGCATTGTCAAATGGGGGGCCGGCTCATTTTCCTTCCCCCATTGTTAGAAGTCTGGACTTGAGTACACTGTATGACGTTGCAGGCTGGTTCATTGGTCTGTCAGTCGCCCCCGCACAGGCGGCGGCGATGACGGAGCAGGAGTCGGTTGAGGGACTGTGATGTGCACTGTCTGACATGGTCCCCGCCCTGGGCGACGGCCGTGGCGGAGCAGCACGGCCTACTGAGGGCCAGTGATGTACACTGTCTGACATGGTCCCCGCCCCGGGCGACGGCCATGACGGAGCAGGAGTCGGCTGAGGGACAGTGATGTGCACTGTCTGAAATGGTCCCCGCCCCGGGCGACGGCCATGACGGAGCAGGAGTCGGCTGAGGGACTGTGATGTGCACTGTCTGAAATGGTCCCCGCCCCGGGCGACGGCCATGACGGAGCAGGAGTCGGCTGAGGGACTGTGATGTACACTGTCTGACATGGTCCCCGCTCCAGGCGGCAGCAATGACGGAGCAGCACGGCCTGCTGAGGGACAGTGATGTACACTGTCTGACATGGTCCCCGCCCCGGGCGACGGCCGTGACGGAGCAGGAGTCGGCTGAGGGACTGTGATGTGCACTGTCTGAAATGGTCCCCGCCCCGGGCGACGGCCATGACGGAGCAGGAGTCGGCTGAGGGACTGTGATGTACACTGTCTGACATGGTCCCCGCTCCAGGCGGCAGCAATGACGGAGCAGCACGGCCTGCTGAGGGACAGTGATGTACACTGTCTGACATGGTCCCCGCCCCGGGCGACGGCCGTGACGGAGCAGGAGTCGGCTGAGGGACTGTGATGTGCACTGTCTGAAATGGTCCCCGCCCCGGGCGACGGCCATGACGGAGCAGGAGTCGGCCGAGAGACGGTGATGTGCACTGTCTGAAATGGTCCCCGCCCCGGGCGACGGCCATGACGGAGCAGGAGTCGGCCGAGAGACAGTGATGTGCACTGTCTGAAATGGTCCCCGCCCCGGGCGACGGCCGTGACGGAGCAGGAGTCGGCTGAGGGACAGTGATGTGCACTGTCTGAAATGGTCCCCGCCCCGGGCGACGGCCATGACGGAGCAGGAGTCGGCTGAGGGACAGTGATGTGCACTGTCTGAAATGGTCCCCGCCCCGGGCGACGGCCATGACGGAGCAGGAGTCGGCTGAGGGACTGTGATGTGCACTGTCTGAAATGGTCCCCGCCCCGGGCGGCAGCCGTGACGGAGCAGCACGGCCTGCTGAGGTCCTGTGATTCTGACATGGTCCCCGCCCCAGGCTGCGGCAGTGACGGAGCAGCACGGCCTGCTGGAGGACGGCCGCCGCGTGCACGACAGCCTGGCCCTGAGTCTGCAGTCGACGGCCGAGTACGGCCAGGCGCTGCACCACCTGCAGGTGTCACTGCGGCTGGCCGAGCGACTGCAGGATCGGGCCGGCCGCGCGGATGTCCTCCACAGCCGCGCCACGGTGCGAGCTCCGATACACGACCGACGCCGGCTGTACAGATGTGGTCTAGAGCGCGGCACCACCACCGGACTGGGTGTCTGGGTACCGGTCGAGAGCTGGTATTGTTTGGCTGCTCCCAGCTTTCACTGAATTCAGATAAATGTCGGAAAGGCACGAGTACATACCAGCCCTGTCACTGTTCGTGTACCGACGGTACCGATGCAGTACCAGCTAAAGCTAGCCCCCGACACTACGAGTGAGCTGTTAGTGTTGTGACGCAGGTCCTCGTGCGTAGTTCAGGAGTGTGAACTCCCCTGGTCTCGGTTTTACGCCAGACGGGTGATGACGTTGACGCCGCTGACAGTAATGCCGTGTGCGTCAGGTGCTCCTGCTGATGGGGGACACAGAGGCCGCCAGCCGCTCCTGGTACAAGGCCTACAAGCTGCGCTCGCCAAAGCCGGCGGAACACGAGAGACACTCCCGCTGCCTGCGATGCGGTGGGACCCTGTGTTTGTATCTCTGTGCTATGGGAGGTACGTCACCAACGGCGTCCGTCCGGCGGTGACCGCTGCGCTGAGCGTTTGGCGGCAACGCCCGCAGGGACTGCCCTGATGATGGGGACGACTCGTGCCAATCTTCTCGCGGACTAGGACAGGAAGCGATCAGTAATATCACGTGACAGGCAACGGGCCTTGCAGTGGGCCGAGTGTAGTCATGCTAACGTTGATGAGGTTAACGTAAGTGCCGCCTGGCAAGGAGGGAGAAGAGCTGAGAGGTACGAGGGGCTGGAGGGCACCTTACAATTCTCTTAGGGTAGCATCGAATCAGTTTGACTGTTGGTGCTGACATTAATTGTTCCCGAGATTGAAGGCTTTCTGTGTCTTGAGTGTGCTGTTACGGATTATCCATTGATGCGTGTCTTGTATAACCAGTCTGCGACTTATAGGCATGCTAGGTGGCGGAAGAGGGAGTAGACGACCGGGACAAACAGCTGCTCGTTGATACTCGCAGCGTTTCAGCGTGTACGTGCTAACCGCAACTTCGCGAACCGCTTTGGCGCAGTGTCACCCGAGCTTGACCTGACCCTGAGGGCTGACCTTCTGACGGCCCGGCAGCGGTGCGAATCTGCCGCGCCGACGACCAGTTGATGCTGCTGGACCGGGACGACCACCAGGGGCGCCACGATCGCCACGAGAAGCTCGGCGACTGGTTCTGCCAGTTGTCGGCGTACGCGTCGGCGCTGGAGCACTATCGGGCGCAGCTGCAGGTGCTCCGCTCCACCTCCCTTACGTCGGGCCGCGTCAAAGTCGTTCGAGCAGTCTGCACGAAAAACTGTGATCAGTCTAGTTTGTGTGGGCGAGTTTTGGTCGGCGGAGCATTGGACGAAGCGTGTCCGATGGGTGCTTGCGTTTGCACGGTCATGCTCAATTAATGTGTTGAAATTATATCACGTTGGTATCTTTGTGTATAGTTCAGTATAAAGGTCCTGACGGTACAGAAAGTTTGGAACTTACAGGTTTTTTATGGACGATCTGTGTGTACCGGTCCGAGTAACTGCCCCACGTTGTTGTCATTCGCCTTGGGTGGTAACTGTATGGTGCCCGTTGGCTGCGCAGTGTTCCGAGGCGCTGGGACGCCCAGAGGCGGTCAAGGCCGCCATCTACGCCTCGCTGGCCGAGACGCACAAGGACCTGCGTCAGCACGCTGAGGCCAAGCGGTGGTTTCTGCGCGAGCTGGAGGCCCGACGGGGCAACAGCAAGGAGGTGAGACTGACTGGCGGTCACCGCTGAGACGAGGCCCTGACATGGGACACTGGGTCGGACGACACCCGCCGCGTGCTTGTCACTCCGCCGTGCGTGCAGTCTTGGAGCTGGTGTCTACTGTACCCCGTGTATGCGGCGCATACTCACGTGATGGCCAGAAAAACTCACGTTGTCTGTCATCGTAATTGCTGTTTGTTCCACTACGCTGGTAGGTACTATTATGTGCAAGCATACTTGTGATACGTGTTGTGCGAAATTTATGCTATAAAAGGGGCACGACAGTTTGGTGGCATTTTACTAACAAAACCGTGTTTTGCCTCTTGAAATGCCTTTTAACAGAGCTGTTGAAATGTCTGGATTTCAACTCCTCGCAAATATTGCGGCCTTAGGAGTCAGCCTTTAGCAGACAGGGTGAAGAGGGCAGTGCCTCTACACCAAACTGTGATAAATTTTTGGCACTTGAAGGAGTATCTGATTTTTTCTGTTTTTCACTCGTTGGCACATTAGATGCGTGCGATTTGTTTAGTAATGTCAGCTTTCTTGATTTTTTCTGAAAACCTCAGAATTTTGATTTAGATTGGCCAACTCTGCGGGAGAAGTCTCACTTTACTCCCCGCTCATCACTGCGAAAATAATCATTTAATTTGCCTTACTTTTTCCAACGTGTTTGCGCTGGAATATTAACAACACGTAAATGTTTCAAAATGTTTGTGTAATATATGCTGTGAGGTCCGGAAGTATTGCGTAGACAAAAAAAAACAACAAAAAACATGCAAACATGAAGCTATTATTCCGCGGATTTAACGAAACGTTTAAAGATGGCTTTGATTTCTCCCCTGTGACGTTTACCACAGTGGCTCTCTTCAAGGCGCATTTTGACTTTGGGAATGGGAGCATCACATGATCCATGTGACGTACTGATTCAAACTTCGACCACTGCTCTCCTCGGTAGCAGACCCTTGCTGCCTGCTGGGCCGCTCACAAACGTCCTTTTATTCGCACCAGTAGAAGTGCACACGGTGGTTGTCATAGCAACGGTGGCCGCGACTGTAGGAAGTGTGGTGCTGTTACAGAGCGTTGACAGTGTAATTTGGACTCAAAAGTAATTCAAATTAATATCCTTATGAGTGAGAATGAGGTCCTTTCGGCGCTGCAATGGCATTACCCAGTACCATTGATGATGCAACTAGTCCTGAGGTTTCACTAGAGTATGGTTTTGAAATGTACCCCAGGGTGGAACACTGCCTTACACGGTGTGACATTTCACGGAGAAAGCTAAAATGAATACCGACTTCCCCCCCCCCCCCCCCCAACTTACTTATATTCATTCACCGCTGTTCTTTATCGTGTGCGATACGAAAAAGCGTTGTAATTGGATGAACTTTCATGCTCTGATTTAACAGTCCCATGACTCGGCAGGTATGCAAGACGCTGTTGAACCTGGCGAGCCTAGAGCTCTCTATGGGCGGCGACGTCGGCTCTATTTGCGAGTTTTACCGCCAGGCGGCGGACGAGGCATGCCTGGCCGGCCTGCCCCGACTACGGGCGTCTGCGCTGCAGGACATGGCTGAGACGTACCGCGAACATGGTCTGCTGGAGGACGAAGGTCTGTCCCCAATAGTAGGGAGCATTTCGTGTGGAGGGAGCGATCGCTTAGCTTAGTCAGGTCTTGACAATACACCCCTTGCTCCATATGGGTTCCATCCATATAACGTGGGCGACGCAACTTTGAAACCCGAAAAAATTATCGCTCTCCTTATGTTGGCGAGACATTGACATTCGTTCAGCTTGTTGGTAATGCTCTTGTGACTGATCTAAATAGCAGAGCGCGGCTGCGCAGTTGTTCATCTCATGTTAGCCACGACGCTGTGTTCGCCGCTCCTTCCCTCCCATCCACCATAACCAACATATAAACAGTGCACAGCCCGTCCAGCCGTTATCATGTGGCCGGCCGACAGCGGCGTGTCCGCGGACGCGGCGTCGTGGTCGGGCGCCTGACCGCGGCTCCCCGTCCGACCCTCAGCGCGCGTGCGCCGCGACCTGGCGCTGGCGCTGCGCTGTGACCGCCTGCCCGAGGACTTCGACGGGAGGCACGACAGTCAGGAGGACTCCTCCGAGCCGGAGGACGACGGCTCGGGCAGCGAGGGCGAGTCCATCGACCTAGACCACCTGGAAGGTTAGAGCGCGGCCTCGGCTGTTGGTTCTGCTGGCCTGCACCGGTTACCTTGGCCATAGCTTTTTACGCACTACTGATTTGTGGTGGGGTCGCCAATCACACATCACACACGAACTACGGGATCTCCGTGTAGGACCTTTTGTGACGCAACTGCCTGTGACGTCAGAAGTAGTGGCCTTCAGCTAACTAGCTCGCGGATAAAGAACTGGCCCCAAAGGGATAGCATGAGGTGAACCGGGCTTTCCTTGCCGTTGACCTGCATGACATTTCTGACATGCAACAGAAGAGGGCGCTTTATCGCAGGCTCACATGCGCCGACATGTTTGTCATCACGTAAAGCAAGTTTTGAGCGTTTTGCATTGTGTGATTGCTTCGAACCATGATATGGTGTTCCATGATAGCGATGACAAATAACTGCCCACCCTGCGGGTGTGTGACACCCGTGTGCTGCGAGTTATTGCCAACGTGCTGCAGCTGCGGCCTGGGAGTTTTGACCTGCCAGGCGCTCATGTGACGCGGCGCCTGGAGCCGCAGCGCCCTCTGACGGCGCCATCTGACGGCAGGCCTGAGCTCCGACTCGGAGGACGCGGACCCGGAGCGACCGCGGCGAGCACGCCCGGCGCGCAACCTCTGGCGCAACAACAAGGGCGAGACGCACCTGCACGTGGCCTGCATGCAGGGCAAGCTGAAGCAGGCGGCCCGGCTGCTGCAGTCGGTGGGTGTCCCGGCTGCTGCAGTCGGTGGGTGTCCCGGCTGCTGCAGTTGGTGGGTGTCCCGGCTGCTGCAGTCGGTGGGTGTCCCGGCTGCTGCAGTCGGCGGGTGTCCTGGCTGCTGCAGTCGGTGGGTGTCCTGGTTGCTGCAGCTGGTGGGTGTCCCAGCTGCTGCAGCTGGTAGGTGTCCCGACTGCTACAGTTGGTGATTGTCCCGGCTGCTACAGTCTTTGGGTGTCCTGGCTGCTGCAGCTGGTGAGTGTCCCGGCTGTTTCAGTCTGTGGGTATCCCGGCTGCTGCAGTCTGTGGGTGTTCCGGCCGCTGCAGTCGGTGGGTATTCCGGCTGATACAGTCGTTGGGTGTCCCGGCTGATGCAATCAGTGGGTGTCCCGGCTGCCACAGTTTGTGGGTGTCCGAGCCGCTGCATTTGCTGAGTGTCCCAGCTGCTTCAGTCTTCAGTCTTTGGGTGTCCTGGCTGCTGCAGTTGGTAGGTGGCTCCCGCCGGCCTGCGGGTAGAGCTAGGTCCTGCCGCCAGTCTGCTGGCGGTTCGTTCGTCGCACGATTCGTACGTCGGCGTGCCGCCGGAGGAGCTGACTGGGGACTTGTGTTTGGTGATGTGTGTCTGCTGAAGATCGCTTGAAGCTCCAGTTGGCGGTACTTGGTTTGCAGCGGCTCACCCGGTCTTCCTCTGTTGTTTAAATCATCAGGTCTGGTGCTCCCCTCAGGTTTACCTGCGATCCTCCCGATCCTCTTCCCTGCGACACCCGGCCTGAGCGCCTCCCCCCCCCCCCCCTCCCCGTCGTCAGGGCCGGCCGATGGCCTGCTGTCGGTCTGATGACTCTCCCGTCCCCAGGGTCACCCGGTGAACGCGCGGGACCACTCCGGCTGGTTGCCGCTGCACGAGGCGGCCAACTTCGGCCACCTGGAAGTGGTGCGCCTACTGCTACAGCACGGCGCGCGCGTCGGCGACCCGGGCGGCCAGCACTGCGGCGGCACCACTCCGCTGCACGACGCTGCTGGCAACGGACACCTGGAGGTGGCGCGCCTGTTGATGGAAGCTGGCGCCAGCCCGGCGGCCACCAACCAGCAGGTGGGCTGCGCGGCGTGCCAGCTGCAGGGTATCTGTCATGGCGCGGCGGTCGCCAGGGTCGTTTGGGGTCCAGTCTCTGACGCTGGTGAATGCCACCGTGAATGCGATACCGTCGTGACGCGTGCGCTTGGAAGGTGGAAGGCGGGAGGAAACCTATTTGGCAGCGTTTTGGCGTGCTCCAGCTTGTTTGGGATGCGGACTCCAAGAAGGGCATGCCTTGACATTATCCGTCAGAAACATGTTCGGGTTATTTTGGTGTGGTTAGTTCTGTTGGTCAATGGCGTTGCTATCTGCCCGAGGGACGCGGGAAAAAATCGGAAGCATTACTGGTAGGAAGTGCGCAAGGAGTAGTAGTGGCAAGCTGATACTCAGCCTTTGTGGAATCGCATCGCGCAATGCCCTTATCCACTCTTACACTGATCAAAGGTGAACAACTTGTGGGAAAACAACGCCGCAGCATGTGTAATCCAGCACTGTTGTGGTCATGACTACTGCCATAGCCTCACTGTATGAAGTTTATCTCGTGGCTATTGAAGGATGCAACTCAAACAGGGAATTTTTCTTACAGCTGGCACATCTACGCGCATCGTGTAGTTCAGTCTGCCGGAGTGTACAAAAGGGCTGTTCACCCTTCGTGCTTGGAGGTGGTCTTTGTCCTGTCTCCGTCGCTTACCCGCACCTCTCAAATGTGGTCAAAGTCGTGTATCGTCATGACAGGGCGAAACGCCTCTGGAGTACCTCATGGCCTACCGTGCCAACCTGGATGTCAGGCTAACGCCGGATGAACTGGCGGACATCAGACAGCTGGAGGACGAGATGAAGGAAGCTCTGAGAAAGGGTAAGCTGCCGGGGGCGCCGGTAGTGTAGCGGTTAACGCGTCTGCGTTAACCACCGCACATCTGGGAAACCAGAGGTACGGGGTTCGATTCCCCGCGGTGCCTGCCCTTCCTGCCAGGGTGAGCGGCAGGCGACGCCAATAGCCTCAGCAGCTGAGTGCGTTGTAAAGCCCAATGACACACACGGGTAAGCTGCCGCCCAGTGTCCTGTCTGGCACAGCACTCAAACGGCGTTGAAGAGATTCATGCAATTCACTCAAGCGAGCTGTTGCTGCCGTCGGTGTTCGGTGGCCTGACACCACGGACCGCGGGCGTAGCTAATTGCATTGCAGCATCTACTGTTCCACTCAGTGCCATTTCGGTGCAGTGCTTCGTTCTTCCCAGCAGCGCGTCCCTCCCGTGTGAAGCATGGGGCCTGATGCCTTGTCCCCCTGTCGCGCCACCCTGGTCAGTGAGGCGCGGGTGAGAGCGTGGCTGTGACTGATAAGCCTGTACCGCCGCGCAGCGGGTCAACCGGTGCCGACCTCTCCCAGCCGCCGCCTGCAGAGCTCGCCGTCGGTGCGCACGTCCGGCACCTCCGGCCCAACCGACGACCCGGTAGGTCCGGTGCGTGACGGGCTGCGTCCCATGAACGCCAACATGGCCTGTGCAGTTGCTTGCGCTCCATACAAGGGTGTGCGATGGCGTGCTCCGTGCTCTTTTTTTAAGCACACGTCATATGTGGAGACCTGGGAACTTTGTTGGGGGAGGTAGGGGGGGGGGGGGGGTAGCCTGACCTCGGGAATGGGAGCGGCCTCTGCGAAACATTGCTGGGGCAGTTTTGTAAGGTGAGGTGAGCGATAAGGCGTGTAGCGTCGGTACCTTGCTTGTGCGCGTGCCTCCGTCTGTATCTCTCACGACGCGGCGATGGGTGCGCGTTTGGTTTGTGACTTTATAGCATCGGACGGCGCCAGCATGGATTGTTGCCATCTCTTCGTCTGTGCACGCCCGCTGCCGGCTTAGTCCCGGCCGCTGCGCGGACGCCGTGGTCCGTGCTGACACGTCGCTGCCATCTCAGTGCCCGCCACTGTGCAGACGCCGTGGTCCGTGCCGACGTGCTGCCATGTCCGATGCCGTGATCCGTGCTGGCGTGTCGCTGTCGGCTTAGTGACGCCTCGCCTGCTGCACGCCAGCATCCCCGGGCAGCCCTGCAGCAGTGGTGGTCTCGGACGGGGAAGAGAAGGAGGAGGACCCGACGGTCGCCTACCGGCGCGCCATCCGCGGTGTCGGACGCTCGGCCGTCACCGCTCCCTCACCAGGCCGGGTGAGGCCCCACGCGTGCCCTCGGCGCGGCCGGCCGGGCTGCGTGCGCCGTGCCGGCCGCGGGAGATGCCCGGATGGCTGACCAGTTGTGGGTCCGTTTCTGCAGTCACCGTTGTAACAAATGTGACTCGGTTTAAGTTTCGGTTCGACTAATTCGCTTGGCTAAGTGAATATATATGCGTGTGGGCAAGTGCAGCAGCCTGTCTCTTACGTGCGCCTGATTTGTCGGATAAAAATATCTTGAAAAAACATGGTGCATTCCCATTAATTGTGCTCGCATTGCCATTTTCGGAGTTATTGTAACCACCCTGATATTTTCATGGCTGGTTTCTGTCTGTTGTGCCGGTCTCCCCCGTGACCAGGCTTTACCCAGTGACCTCTAGCGCATCGTGCAGCGCACGATGGTCTTGCTCGATCTTCACCTGACGGCCGGCGCCGTCGGCAGCGCGGCGGCCGGCGCTCGAGGCCCGCCGGGCCGCGCGCCAGCCTGGTGGACGAGGCTGCCTACCAGTGGCTGGAGGAGGACGTAGCGGCGACGTCTGACCGCCGTCGCCGCCGCCGCCGCCGCTCGCCTGTTTTCTCCTCCGGTCGCGGCCGCACGCGACCCGTATCGCCGCTGCTGGCCGGCGGCGGCGCAGCGGCGGCGCCCCGGTCGCCACTGCTGCCGCCGCCACCGGTCGACGGCCGCCCAGGCAGCAGCGGGCCCGACTCACCGCCGCCGCCCGAGCCGGAGGTGGTAATCGAGGAGCCGACCAGCGACGACGCTGCCGACGTGCCGCCGGCGCCGCGGCCGCCGCGGCCGCCGCGAAAGCGGAGGCGCTCCCGACAGAGCCGGCTAACGCCACTGGTTATGGTGAGCGACGGCCGGCGCCGCTTGGACGCAGCCGGCAGGCTGTGGGCGGTGGCGGCCGCTGGCACGGTACGGCCCCGCCAACCGGTCGCGGAGAGTTTGTAATGTAGACTCGCAGTTCACACATTGTGCGTGTGTGTCTGATGATCGTGATGTTTATTCACGGAAAGTCAACGCGTCCCACAGCCACGCTGTTTTATCTGCATGGCGTTTGGTAGTATATCTGTGCAGTGCTCAACTTGTGTGCCATTGAAGGGTTGCAATACCATGCTTAATGCGGCGCTGTTGTTCGACATCTGCCAGCTTGTCTTATGTTAATCTACTGACTGTGTTCGTGTATGTCCCGTGTCGTGCGTTGTACTTGGGGCTGCTGTGGTGTAAGCCCTGCTTTGTTGCATGCCCACCCGCACTACTCGTGGCTCGTTCTCCAGAACACAAGGCTATGGCTGGTGCACTGCGACTGCGTCTGACCTGTGGTGACCTCTGTCTGTGTCGGCAGCGCAGCCAGCGGCCGGCCGAGGCCGGTCCCTCGCCGGACCGCTCGCCGTCCGGCAGTCCGTCGCCGACCCTGCCCTCCAAGGTGCACCGCACTGGCGGCGCCGGCGGCAAGGTCAGGCGCGCGCGTCCAGCCCGGCCCGCCTCTCGCGTCAGCTGCGTGTTGCTCTCTAGGTGTAGGTCGGCTGTTGAGACTGGGCGGTCATGACTGTTGTTGGCGTCTGACATGTGGCGGGTGATAATAAGCTACTACCTTAAAGGAGTGTTACGGGCGGCTTAGGCGGCATCTGCCGTACAGGCCGTCTGCGTAACTAGGAGTACCGGCTCCCCATTTCTCAGCGATACCGTCATGCTCACCCGACGGATTTCTCACCGACGCCAAATGGCAGTCACGAGATTCCCACAGGTCAGACGCCATTTGACGAAACACATTAGCGACATATTTGTGTTACATATGCTAATTACTATGATACCATGCAAGCACGGAAGACTTGCGCGACATGTAACGGATCGGAAATAATGTGCCAGTACGTAAGTTCATCATCACAAAACGTTCCCTTCTTTAATGTGTATTTATACAACGCGAGGCCATCAAACATAGAAAGGGCCGAGGATCTCGAATAATCGCTGAAGGGTGGGCGATTCTTCCACCGGGATTACACTTCGCCGAGGTGAAGGCGCCGGGCGCCCGGCCGTCGGCATGCCACGTCGACATGCTTTCCCAACACCGTGTCCGCCTCACTGTCACTCCGACAGCCGACTGTTACTGTCACTGTACTGTCTGAATGTGCCCTTACTCCGACGGGGTTGGCGTGTGTGATGGGCCGCCCTCTACTTATCGTCTTGCGCGGATGTCCGGAACGAGCGCCCGGGCCAAACGTAGCAAACAAAAACCATACTCGCACATTGGGGAAGACAGCGTGTTTCCCGCGGCAAATAGATACGCCGCGCGCCACAAAAGTTCGTCGAACTATTTGACGCGCGTAAGCTACCGAAGTTTGACAAAACGCTCAATGTGCTGTAAACATTCAGGTTTTTGCCGCCTGGCCAGGTGTAGCTAAGTTATGTATGCATATAAACAAGTGTAAATTTTGTGGGCGGTTGATGTTGTTCCGTGCTCCTCCGCCGGGACGCGCAGCGCTGTCTTCTGCTGGGTCCGGTCGCGGGGCGACTAGTCCGGCAGCGGACATTGGTGCGGGCCGCGAGGAGACATATGCGGCGCACGGCATACGACGGTCACAGACGCCAGGCGCCCCTGGCTCCGGTGCAGCTCCCCTCGTCGCACCGTCGCACCCAGCGCGCCCGCATTGGCCCCTGACCGCTGACCCCCTGGCTCCGTGTGGCCCCACACAGCTGCCACGGCCAGCGCTGCAGATCCCGCAGGTCCGCAGGTCAACCCTGCGGGTCTTCGATCTGGCTGGGCTGCTCCGTGGCCTCTCCGGCGGGCGGTCACTCCTGTCCCTCCGGCCGGCGGTCACTCCTGCCCCGCCGGCTGATGGTAACTTGTGCCCCCCCCCCCCCCCGGCTTCGGTCAATCCCGCCCCGCTGCGTGTCTGTCGCTGTGATCTGACCCGCCTCCGTTGGCGGCCGGCAGGGGTGGCCGACGCCCAGCGTGCGTGTAATCGTGGAGGTGGAGCGGGACCGTCTGCTGGTGCCCTTGCCGGCGCCGGTCGGCGACGAGCCGCCGCCCACCGTCGCCTGGCTCGCCCGGCAGGCCGCCGACAGATACTACAGGCGAGTTGGCTGGCGCGCGCGCCGACGCGGCCGAGTCATGAAGCAAGGTCCGCCTCGGGTGACACTGGCCACCGCTCTGTTGTTGAGGATAGGCGGAGGGCTGGGGCTATGCTGCTCTAGTCTTAAGATAGTAATCGCTGCGTCGTCAACTGATACGTGATAACGCAGATAGTATGTGGTGCATCGCTGGCTACTCCAAAGACTCGCCGGGATAGGCCTGTCGCCCTATTTACAATAGTTGTGTAACTTGAACTGGTTGATTAGCTAGATGGATGCACCATCAACAGCGCCACTTAGCTTCTGTTCCATTTTCCTGCAAATGAGTCGTGTCCTCGTGCGCCTCTGACTGCCGGCTTTCACGGCTCATCGCCACGGCACGGCGTTCGCATGCGCGCCCTGTTCGCTCGCTTTCACAATCGAGTCCGACGACACTGCTCCCGCCCTCCCGTGTCTGCCACGCTGCCTGCGACCGACGTACATCCGCGCACAGGCAGTTTCTGCTGCGTCCCTCTCTGGAGCTGCTGAAGGACGGCGCTCTGCTCACGCTGGACGACGCCGTCAGCGGACTGGTCCGCGGCCAGGATGACGTCATCAGCAGCCGCGTCATCAGCTGGGAGCGGCCGCCGCTGACCGAGCGCTACAGTGCGGCCTGCGGGCTGCTGAACGCACGTGAGCCGCGCCTGTGGGGAGGCAGGCGGAGGGAGGGAAGCGGGATCGTTAGGCGTGGTAGTTGTTGCAGGTGTTGGCTGGTGTGGTTTCTGCTGACTCGGGGTCGTGTTAGCATGTCGCGGCCGGCGTGAGCTACACATGACCATTATCATGACCCGTCTGACCTTCCTTGGACTTCTGCAGACGCGTTGTCTGGATCGTGACAGGTTGTTCTGGCGCCAGAGCCGGAACGGATTACCGGATCTGGACCTCACCCTTTTCTGACATCTGGACAGGTCTGCTCTGGACGTCGGCTACTCCCAACTGGGCCCGGCTGACCTCTTTCGACCCTGTGTAACCTCTATATGACCTCTGGACAGGCGCCATCGGCACTGTGGCCTCTCGCCTCGCCCTCTGCCAGGGCTCTGGCCGTCTGGACTTGGCTGACGTCCGCCTGACGCCGGCGAGGCTGCGGCCTGTTCTACGCGCCACCCAGCGCTACAACTGTATCACGCAGCTCGACCTCGCCGGCAATCCGCTCGGCGATGAGGGCGTACAGGTGGGTGGAGTAGCGGCACTGGTGGCGCTGCTCGGTGAAGTCTTTGACAAAAGAATCAGAGGCACGAGGGGGGAATTGGAAGTGCTTGTCGATGTTTTGCAGCGCAATCGTCATTTTGCACTGGATGCAGGTGGATTTGATGTGTCCTTTTTTGTTCGAAGGGCATTTTGATGAACCTTGGTGTGACCGTGACATCAGCTGGGTGACTGAGCGATGTTTTGTCCAGTTGCTCGATATGCTCACCCTTCACTTCACTGGTGTGAGTTCTTCATGACCACAGTAGTTCAGTTCTGCACTTCCCTTCATGTTCAGTGTGCTCGCCGCCATTCCCCCACCTGACCTACGCGCTCTCTGCACGGCCGCAGGAACTCAGCTCAGCTCTGCCCCACCTGACCGGTCTCGACACTCTTGACCTGACCTGTGTCAAGATGACGTCAGCCGGCCTCGGTCACGTAGCGGCCGCGGTCGGCGAGGCCGCTGCTCTTCAGGTACAGTCAGCTGGACGGAACACCGGGCCGGTGTTCTTCAGGTACAGTCAGCTGGACGAAACACTGGGCCGGTGCTCTTCAGGTACAGTCAGCTAGACGGAACACCGGGCCGGTACTCTTGAAGTACGGTCAGCTGGACGAAACACTGGGCCGGTGTTCTTCAGGTACAGTCAGCTGGACGGAACATCGGGCCGGTGCTCTCCGGGTACAGTCAGCTGGACGGAACACCGGGCCGGTGTTCTTCAGGTACAGTCAGCTGGACGGAACACCGGGCCGGTGCTCTTCGGGTACAGTCAGCTGGACGGAACACCGGGCCGGTGCTCTTCAGGTACGGTCAGCTGGACGGAACACCGGGTCGGTGCTCTCCAGGTATGGTCAGCTGGACGGAACACTTTGTGTGTACCGTGCCTGCGCCAACAGCGACAATGGGAGGCTGCTGGCGATTGTTTTTCTGTGGCTGGCAAATCGCAGATGAGCCTTGTCACGGCGGCGCGCAGACCTTCCCCATTGGCACCAATTGTCCTGACTGCGAGCAGCGCAACGGTATGGTGGCCTGAGCATATTCAGTTGAGAAGATAGGGTAACAAGCTCAGTATTAGCGAAAAGGTGTCATATCATATTTAACAAATTCATCTTGTAAATGAAATGCACGTCGTGTAACAAAATGTGTTGTTACGGTTACAAGATGTATATTATGATCTCATCGTACATTAGCAGGTTGATGCAACTTTACTACTACGGTCGTGCTTGACTTCCCTTCATTGTAACTGGCTTGAGTCGTCCCGTGATGTCGTTACATGTCAACACACCGCGTGGTATCCTCGATAATTACCATAATCATGTCGAATGACCTGTCCCCTGCTCTTATCGCGCCCAACACTTACCGCCGTGTGTTGCCAGGCCTGCAAGACCCTGCGTCTTGGCTACAACTTGCTGGCGGACAGCTCGTCTGGGGCCCACCTGGCCACGCTGCTGGCCGGCCTGACCCGACTGACCTGCCTCGACCTGACCTCGTGTCAGCTGACCGAGCACCACCTGTCGGCCCACCAGGACACGTTGGCGCTCGCCCTGGCTGGTGAGTAAATACACCTCGATGCGAGGTAATGATACAGGATTTTGCCATCAAGTGGTGAAGTGGAGTCGTCTCGCTCCACGGGAGGAGCAGTCCAGCTTGCCAGCATCTAACGCCCCTTTCTCTTGCCCGCCTGCAGGGAGCAGCCTGTCGGAGCTGCGGCTGTCGCACAACGCCGTGTCGCCGGCCGGCGGCGAACTGCTGTTGCGCTGGCTGCGGCCCGACTGGCTGCTGCGGCTGGCGGCGGCCGGCTGGCGCGGCCTGCCCGGCTCGCTGCGCCGCTTCGTCGCCCGCGGCCGCGACTGCTCCCTCCAGGAGCTCGACCTGAGCCGCAGCGGGCTCACCGACGAGCAGGCCGACCAGCTGGCCAGGTCGGTGTCGCGCTCAGCTGTCTGCGATTTGTCGGGACGCGCCGAGTGACGTCATGAACATTGCGTCACCCAGCGGCGGCCATGTCTAGCAAGTGGCGTGTTGGTCTGCACTCAGCACGTGTGCACAACTCTGGTGCGGCGTGGCCCCTACTGCTGCCATGGTATGACCTGATCCCATACTGGCCTAGCTCCCTTTGCCCGGCGGCATGTTTTGACCTGACCGGTGACCTCAGGACTGCTTGTCATAACCCGACCCCTGCCCGGCAGCGCGTTCACGCACACGCCCCACCTAGCCCGGCTGGATGCCTCCCACAACGGCCAGCTGTCGGCCGAGGCTCAGGCGGCACTGCTGGCGGCCGCGCTGGCTGCCGCCTGCCCGCTGACGCAGCTCCTGATGGCCGGCTGTCGACCGCCGGGCGCCGACCTGCCGACCGAGCCGCTGCTGACGCCGCTGCGCCGCTCGCTGGCCGGCCCGGCGCCGCTGCAGCGGCTCACGCTGCCCACCGGCGGCCTGGAGAGACTGCGGACGCTAGGCGACGTCTGGACGGAGCGCTGGGCAGAGCGCGCCGCCGTCACGACCACGGCCGACGGAGACGCGCTGCTGCAGCTACGTCACTGCTGACCCGACGTGACCTGGGCGACCTGACAGCGTTGAGTGGTTCCCGGACGCGGCCGTCGGGGACGTGCTGCTGCAGCTGCGCCACTGCTGACCCGACGTGACCTGGGCGACCTGACGGCGTTGAGTGGTGCCCCGACGCGGCCGTCAGAGACGTGCTGCTGCAGCTGCGCCATTGCTGACCTGACGTGACCTGGACGACCTGACAGCGTTGAGTGGTGCCCCGACGCGGCCGACGGAGACGTGCTGCTCGAGCTGCGCCACTGCTGACCTGACGTGACCCGGTCGACCTGACAGCGTTGAGTGTTGGCCCGACGTGGCCTTCGGAGACGTGCTGCTCCAGCTGCGCCACTGGTGCAGCTTTGCTGCGGCGGATCCGCTGGTTTGTGCCGTACCCCGGCGACAAACCGCCGGCACGCGGCAGGCGCTTCCGTGTGGGCCCGCCGTCCGGCCTGGCTGCTGCTGACTGGAAGGGGCACGCCCGTTTGGCCGGGCTGGAGCACGCGGGAGCGGGACGAGTACGCGGGGAAGGGGCGGAGTGTGCGGATGACAGTGAGGATCATTGCTGCAGTAGGGTGCGGGGACCCGACGTGCGCTCGTGAGATGTGGATGTATTTGGACATTGTGATGTGTGTGACCCGAGGACGACTGTGGATCGGGCATAGCGAGACGGAAGCTTTGTTTTGGTGACGTAGACTCTGATGACGGTCCTGTTGACGGGCGTTCCGTGCGGACGATTCTACAGCTTAACATTCTCTACACAATATAAAGTCCTTGCGATGGACTTGATCGTGCCACATCAATGTAATCTGGCTGCTGACGAGTGTGGTGGAGCCACTCGTATATGCCAGCCGGCTGCAGCAGCTGGTGAGCATTCTGCTCGCATTTGCTGACTGATACGTCGCAATATATTCCTGCGTAGCGTGCTGCGGGGGTGAGTTTTTGACGCATTGTTTCTTCGCTCGTTCGCAAGAAGCAGCGGATCCTCCGGCGGGATGCGGATGCTCAGTTAGTTGCCGCATAAACCACTTCACGGGCAGGCGTTTGTTTCGTGAGCCCTGACCTCACCACCCGATCGGGAAATCCCGGGCCAACGGCAGAGTACCGGGATTATTGCCACGGACGGCCCTTACTTCTGCCGTCGCCTGACCTTCAGCGCAGCCGCTGCCACAGGCGCCAGCTACCCCGGCCAAGTGTTGGTGAGCGCCTGAAGGGGATCGGGCATACCCGCCACGGGTGGGTGGGTCAGAAGGGAGGCGTTCTAATAATCTGTTCCGTCTGACCGAAGCTACATCCCGCCGTGGGTGTAATCACCGCAGGAGCATGGGAAGTGGACGCCTCCCCTGCCTCCCAAATTTGCCAAAAATGGATTGCAGTCCCTCTGATTTTTCGTGTCAAATGTACGTTCGTTGCTCACAAGCTGTCATTCGCAATGACGTTAGGCTCAATCGTCGCCTCCCCAGGTTCCAGTTTGCCCCTCACTCCTGATTTATCACCCAGCTCCCCAATCTCAGAGACGTGGCCACATCCATGCAACCAGTTGTGCTTTATGTTTTGGTTGCACCTTGCCCGTGCAAAGCACGTGATCGACGGATACTCCCGCCCCGCATATTGACACATCGGCTGAGTTATGGCGGCTGAAAATGGGTCAAAATAAATTGGGCGACCAGAGTGGCTACTTCCACCAACAAGATACACATCCTGGTCACCAGCTGAATCTGCAAGCCGCAACAACTAGTTTATCATCAGAAAGGCTAATAAATCACCAATGGTGCCTGTCAGAATATGGTATGATGTATGGCCAAACCATAAATCAGGGGTAAAACGTCCGATTAGGAATGAAAGGGCATGAACAATCACCAACATAAATGAAATGGAAACTAAAAGTACAGGTTGTCGCCCTCTAGCTTAATTGCTCCTGAGAATCCCGGCGCGCCAGTGATGGCGTGGGGAGAGGGGGGGGGGGGGGGCAAGTCGCTATGTACGCGTTCACAGGGGCACAGCCAAGATAACAAAACTAGGGAGGGCCGGGGTGCAACTCAGTGAAAATTCATCACGCAGGTCGTAGGGTATGTTTGTGGGGGGGGGGGGGGGGGGGCATCTGCGTTTTCTTTCTTGGCTGCGTTTATGTGCGCCCGCTATTTGACTTCCGACTTAAATGATCTGCGGCCAATGGCCGGGGGGGGGGGGGGAGGGCGGATCCAGAAGAGGGGGGGGGGGGAGGGCCCGAGCCATAACCTGACCTCGGGCCCCGAAGGCGCCCATAGCCGGCCAAATAGACGCATATTTGAGACACAAAACGCAACAAAATTGGGCGTCTTTGGGCTTCAAAGTAACCAGGAACAGTCAAGTGCAAGTGAAGGTCCTACGAATACATAAACATGATTCGTCATTCGTTGAGAGGGTGGGGATGAAAACATTTTAAGGCTCATTATGCTGTCCAGAGACCTTACGTTGTTTCCTGGGGCCCGACATGCTGTGCGTAGGGCACTAACACTAAACAAGTCTCCTTGTGCAGATGTATTGGCTGTAATAGTGGAACCTTGGCCGTTGAGCAGCGCGTCGTTTTGCTGTCGTGGGCGCGCGCTGCGGCGAAAGGGCGCAGAGCTGGTCATCAACCGTCGAGGGAAGCCATGCAAGACATGGAAGAATTCACCAAATGAAGGGCGTTATGTTATGTGACTTTTTCGTTGTGAATAAATATATTAGACAATGGGGACTTACTGCAGGTACAGCTGGCGAAGCTGACATGATCAATTCGTAATGAAATCATACACCGCACAAAGTACGGTGCCACCTAGCCAAGCCAGAGGCAGACGCATTCGCACGGGCGCCGCCTGTGATGCCGAAGGCGCCACCACAGTGGTAGCACCTAGAGGTGGCGCTACCTACAGTGCTCCCCTAGACACGCCCACGAAGTGGACGTGGCGGTACCGTGCTGGCGGGTGAACCGCGCGTCCCGAGAGCGGGCAGAGGATGGAAGGCGACGTGGCAAGCGCGCTGGCATGTGGGACGGCCGCGCGCACTCAGGGACGGGGAGCAGTCGGTTGGACTCGCAGGCCGGTGGGGCGCTCGCGCGGTCGGCCACCAGCAGCGGTCCGTCATTGGGAGCCGGCCGCGGCGCTAACACCGAGAGACTGGAGGCGTCTGTTGGCCAGTGGTGCAGGGCGATCTTCCACGAAGGCCGGCTTCACGCGGTCGACGGACACGGTGTTCTGGCGAGCGCCGCGGTCGACGGTGACGGTCTTCTCCGTGGGGCTCACAACCAGGAACGGACCGCCGTAGGGGCACGACAGCGGCGGCCGAGCAACGTCGTGCCGAACGAACACGTGCGATGCGTTTGCGGGCACGCGTGGGGCGTAACTGCGCGCGTCGGTCGCTCGCTCGGTCGCCGTCGGCCGCAGTGCCTGTATGGTGCAGTGCAGCTGGGCAGCACACGACGCCGGGGCTGGTGCCTGCTGAGTCCAAAAACTCCTCCGGCAGGCAGAGCAACGAGCCGTGGACGTAGTTGGCAGCGCTGCACTGGAGGCCAGCCCTGAGCGCTGACCGGATGACGAGGAGCACCAGCCGCGGGGCCATCCACCGGGCGTTGCCGTGCAGAGCATGGCCGTCTTGAGCTGCCTGCACATCCGCTCGCCGAGCCCGTTCTATTGAGTGTGGGAGTGGTGGGTGAGCTGATGGTGGGTGAGCCGGTCGACGATTTCCAACAGGAAGGCGTGACCGTTGCTGGGCGCCACAGATCCCACGATGCCTACGCACACGTGGGCGAATCTGTCGCCGGGCGGGGCGTACCAGCCCACAGGTGAGCGTGTGTGTCGTTGCACCTTCGCATGCTGGCATGTCTGGCAGGTTCGGATTCACTTCCGCCCGTCTCTCTCCCCCTGGGAGAGGGCCAGGTGAGGCGGCTGGTGACGAGCTGGACGGTGGCTCGCTCCCCGGTTGCGGCAGGTTGTGCACGTCCCGAAAGTAGGCACGGCGCTGCGGGTCTGGGATCCGCGAGCTCGTTATGGCGGTGGAGCCATCCACCACGAGCGTCCGACTACTGGGCAGGCGGATGTTGCGCAGCTGTAAGCCGCGGTCGGAGACGCAGAACCGGACGAGCTTGTCGTTCATCTGCTGAGCGGCCTCTAGTGACGTGCTGTTGCAGCAATGCACCGACGCCCTGATCCGAGGTATCCAATTGGAGGCTGATGGCGTGTCAGGCACTGTGCGAAGGAACAGCACCGAGTCTGCGGGCGTCGTCTTGCAGCGGTCGAACGCCTCTTTGGCCTCTGCAGTTCAGGCCACCTTCAGCTCGCGTTGCGTCTGCGCCTTGGACGTGATTGGATGCCCAGAACGTAGAATGTCTGGCGGCGCCTACAGGCTAGGGAGGCTGCCGGTAGTGTAGTGGTTAACGCAGTGGTTAACGCGTCCGCGTAAACCACTGAGCGTCTGGGGAGCCAGGGGTACGGGGTTCGATTCGCCGCCGTGCCCGCCCTTCCTGCCAGGGTGAGAAGCGGGCGACACCATATAGCCTCAGCAGCTGAGTGCGTCGTAAAGTCCCAGTGAGAGAGACAAGCTAGGGAGGCTGAGAAGGCAAACCCTAGCCTTAGATACACAGAAATGTTTTTTTCCCGGATCTGGGTCACTTTCCTCTCAATGTAATTGAGTTGGATTCCCATTTAATACAATAGCAAGCTACAGCACTGCTTTACTACGTTTCCTCGCCCTGGCTCGGCCATCCGACGATGTCGTTGGGTATCATTATCATTTTGTTTGGCGGCGATCGTCGAGACCCGGTTTCGATGACCGACGCAGGGTCGATGTGATGTGGCTTCCGACGTCGTTAGACGCGTACGGCTTCGGAATTGAAGAGGTAACTTGATGCGCGGGACTCCCGCTGGTATCCCGAAGGCGGGCTGCAGGCTGCAGCGCAGCACTCGCGTGTCATGTCCGGCACGGCTAGGGCTGTTTTGGTGGCCATTTTCGGACGACTGCCTCAATCGGTTTAGTCGGCTGGTGTCAACCGTTCAAGTGTTCCTGACTATTCTATGGAATATTCACTCGCGTCGGATTGGAGGTCGACACAGTTCAAAAGTTCTTTGCGACGTTGGGATTTACAAGTTGCTCATGCTTTCTAAGAGTCAACATTGGACAGGCTTGTTTTCAATTTGCGATGAGACATCGTTTCGTATCACGGCAAAATAACGTAACCTGCTGCAGCCTGTACATCTTGAAACATCACTGAATAATGCCAATACGCTCAGACAATAGCACACAACTATATCTGA